TTTATTCATAATTAAGCCATTGCATTATGGTCATATGGTGGAAAGTAAAATTGAATAAGCCATTATCTGAAATATTTCTGAGTAAACTAGTTTTTACAGTGAAGTTGTAGAGAGTACTAAATCAGAACTTTTATTTTTTTCCATTTGTGAATTTGAGCCAGTCGTTTCAGTTCTCATCCTGTCGTTCTTGATCTATAAAATCAGAAGATTGGATCAGATTATCTCTTGAGCTTCCTTCAAACCCTAAAAGTCTTTAATTTTTTTATGTAGGAATTACTGGATTGAATAAGGGATCTAGAATGGTTTTGAGTATATCTCTGAAGACAGTGGGGTCAAATTTATGATTATAAGAACTTAGATAATTGCAGGTACAACATTAAGGGTATTAGCAGAGATTTCCCAGTTGGTATTTGCCTCTGTGGTTTGGTACTGATATAGGTGCATTATTTTTATGTCTCTCACATTGTCTATGTAAAGAGTGCATAATATCCTTATTTAACACCGAATTTGAAATTTAAAAAAAAAACGCTGAATTTGGCAACATTACAGATTATCTCTTTTTAAGTTTTCTTAAAGGATTTAAGAATTTCAGAAGTGCCTATACACTGTTATTCATGCTGCTACCAGTGCAGCAGTGGTTTATGTCTGTCAGAAACACCAAGGGAATCGGTGCTATATTGAAGAGCGTAGTCGCCTTTCCTGACACTCACCTCAGAATTTTACCTTGTTTTTCTTAATTCATTAGCAACTTGGCATTTATAAATGTATACAAATGTTTTTGAAGAAGCAAGTCTACTTTCATTTCTCATTTAATCAATGTGAACTACGTTAGGAGTGGGCTAAAGCGGCTGGTATGAATGTTAAATTGCTTTCTTTAAAAGTAATCTTAAAGATCTGGTATAGTTTTAATTAATTAAACCGACATAATTGCACTTAGAGGTGGAAATCTTGTGTAAAAAATGTCTCCTGTTTCATTAAACTTAGCAGATGAGAACATGCTTTGTTTCTTGGTCTTGAACTGAAGAAGTAGATTCAGTTTAAAAAAAAAAAGGCGGTGGCCTGGGGGAGACACCTTTTTAATAGAACGCAGCCTCAGTAGACAGATCTAGGAAATGGGTTCTGTTTCAGTTGTGGATTAGGCTAAAAGGATGATTACTGGTTGGCTCTGGGAGAATTTACTGACTACAGATAAATATTAGCAATAACCCATGTGAGAAGCAGTACATTTAAGGGGAAAGGCACTGGGTTATAATAGAAGAATCTAGTTCTGCTGATGGCTCCATTGACTAGCATTCTTTATATTTGATAAAGTAGTCACTGTACTTGGTGTTGAAGTTACAAAGGTTTCAAATTGGTGGCATTTAAAAACAAATTTATGGGACAATGAGAGTAAGATTAAACCAGGGAGAATTGTTTAACCCTTAGAGAGTCAGTGTAAAGTTCCCAGAGAGTGAACTCTGGCTAAGTTGAACCTTAGAGGACATGTAGGAGGAATTGGCCAGGGAAATTGGAAGGGGTGAGAGTTGCTCAGCATCTTAATAGTTAAAAGAATTTACTGTCTGCTTTTTCAAGACTGGAGACTCAGTGCTATGCTGACTCTCTCATACTGTGTGAAACTTCCAAATAACTTTTTGAATATAATAAAAACTCACTGTATTACTTATTGCCTTATTACAAACACCATGTCCTTTACTGTATGTTTTAATAATTAGCTGCCTATATCATTGTTCTCTTTTTCATGACATCCTTTAGTCATGTTATTTTAGGATAGATATGGAAATTATTCTATGCATGAAACTACAAGATTAAACTTTTTACACGTGAACTGGTTACCTCTTGCTGTTTTTTTTTTTTTTATGAAATGTATTTGTTGGATAAGTTTATAAACCTTAGCATTTTGTGATATTTTAAAATTTTATTCCTTTATTATTGAGGTGCAAAAGTGACTTTATTGTTGATAGACATTAAAAACTACATATTGTAATCATCTGCTTAGAAAAAATAGAATGTAATAAAATATTAAAAGCTATAACTAAGTATTAGGATTTTGTGCATTTTTGTATGATCTAATTTTTTCAGTGAGCTTTTACTTTATTGCTTGAATTACTAAAAATGTATTTTCATAATGAAAAAAACTAGATTAAATTTGGTACTCAAGGCCGGGAGCGATGGCTCACACCTGTAATCCCTAGCGCTCTGGGAGACCAAGGCAGGAGGATTGCTTGAGGTCACAAGTTCAAGACCAGTCTGAGCAAGAGTGAGACCCTGTCTCTGCTAAATACAGAAAAATTAGCAGTGTTGTGGCACAGTTCCTGCAGTCCTAGCTACTCAGGAGACTGAGGCAAGAGGATGACTTGAGCCCAGGAGTTCGAGGTTGCAGTGAGCTAGGATGACACCACTGCACTCTACCCTGCGCAACAGAGCAAGACTCTGTCTCAAAAAAAAAAATTACAAAAAACTTAATTTCATGCACAAAATTATTTAAATATTATGTAAAATTACACTTAGGCTATGTGTATAAGGTATATAGGAAACATAAATGAATTCAGTGTTTAGACTTTGGTCTCATCCCCAAGATATGTCATATATATACACAAATATTCTAAAATTCAAAAGACTCTGAAATCTGAAACATTTATGGCTTTAAGCATATCCAACAAGGATACTTAACCTGTACTTCCCAAGTTTAAATAGAGTATATTATTAAAATTAGCCTAATTTTACTTGTCAAAATGTGGGTACTAAAAAATTTTAAATACCTATGTGGCTCATGTTTCTATTGGACAGTGCTGGCTTAGAGCCTTAAAATTCATGCTAAGACATTTGAGTTAAATGGGATGGTAAGACATCAGAATTTTAGGCAGGGGAATGATGTGTTTAGGTTCATGTTTTAAAAGAATCATAACATTCTGGTTATTCTGTGGAGAATAGGCAGTATAGAACTAAGAGTAAAAGCAGAGAAACCAGTTAGGATGTTATTGTAACAGTTTATATAAGAAATGATGATAATGGTAAAGGTAGTGAGAATGTTTGACATAATTTTTTGTTTGCTTGTTTAAAGAGAATGGGGTCTTGCTCTGTGGCCCAGGCTGGAGGGCAGTGGCATGATCATAGTTCACTGCAGCCTCAAACTCCTGGGCTCAAGCCATTCTCCTGCCTGAGCATCCTGAGTAGCTGGAACTACAGTCACGTGCCACCCATGCCTGGCTAATTTTTCCTATTTTTTGTAGAGATGGAATCTTGCTTTGTTGCCCAGGCTCGTCTCAATCTCCTAGCCTCATGTGAGGCCTCCTGAGTAGCTGAGATTACAGGCACAAGCTACCATGGCCAGCCATTTGTGATAGTTTTTGAAACTAGAGCCAAATTGACTTCCTAATGGTTTGGATCGATAATGAGGTATGAGGAAAGTGTAACCAAAGATAACCCTCAAGTTTTCAGCCTTAGCAGCTGATTTGGATGATGATAATGTTTATTGAATATTTGAGGCAGTCGGGGTAGGAGAATGAGTTTTGTTTTAGATATTTGATCGATTGATTGATGGACAAGGTCTCGCTCTGTGTCTCAGGCTGGAGTGCAATGCCCAGTCACAGCTCACTGTAATCTCAAACTCCTAGGCATAAGTGATCCTCCCACCTCAGCCTCCCGAGTAGCTGGCACTACAGATGAATGCCACGATGGCTAATTTTATTTTTATTATTATTTTTGTAGAGATGAGTTTTGCTATGTTGACCAGGCTGATCTTCAATTCCTGGCCTCAAGCAATCCTCCCATCCTGGCCTCCCAAAGTGCTGGGATTACAGGCATGAGGCATTGTGCCTGACCTAATTATTTTTAATAAAAAGTACACATTCTTAATTGTAGCTCAGTATTTTCCCGAAGTAAACTCACCCATAAGCATTCAGATTATTAAAAAAAACAGAACAAACCACTGTCCAAGTAGCTCCTCCTACTTAGGCTCCTAACCGGATAA